TACATAAATTTCTCCACATTCCGAGATAAGATATAATTTATGTGAATTCTTAGAAATGCAGTATAATTCCCCTTGGTGTAAGGTTTTCTTTTTGTCTTACTTCAGCTCCCTTTGTTAAATGTCTCCCCTGCTCAGCTTCCCTGACTTTTTTTTTTCAGATTAAGAGGTTCTACATTTCCTATTATAACACTCTCACTCAGTTCCTGGGTCTTTACAACAGCAGATATGAATACACTTTTTATATTTAATCACTTTTGTGCATGGGAGAGGAATGAGTGATGGCCATAAAATAAAATCAATGACTATGAATATGTACCAGAATATGATTCTACAAGGCCAAGAGGCCCAGTTAAGTTAGACAACTGAACAAAATGTGCCAGCTTTCACTCACATGCTTCAAATTGTTCACAGTGAAATGCCAACATTACTGCTAAACATAAATCACTCTCATATGCACCGATAAACTCTCAGAATTAGTGATGGGTCAAGCAACACCAATATGCCGGCGCATATGATGAGTTCTAACAGCAAAACACTGTGTCGTGCGCATATTGTTTCATGTGACCAATACAGGAGCCGTTTCAGACTCACTAAACTGGGTTTATAAGCGCTTCTGTTAACACAACAAATCTGCAAAAAATAAAAAATCTGATCTTTTGCGGTTTATCATCAAATTTATTCAAGAACAATGGATCATCCTCAAAGGAAAATAGGTTTTACCCAAGTGGGACCTTTCTGCTCTGATAAATGATTTAATTTTCCTATTGCGTCATCATGTTACTCTCAGTTATTACTCAACTTATCTGAATTCAAATTGACTCTTAGTTTGCTTTTTCTTGTGTAGTCTTGTATAAAGAAATTAATCCTAATCCCACATGCTCACTGAAATGCTTCTGTTATCTGTTTAAATTTATGGATTGTCTAAAAATCTATCAGAAAATATGAAATATATTTTCAGTTTAAATTAACCTTTTGTTAACCTTTCCTGAATTAATGTTTTTCTTTTTTGATATAGAACACATACACAAAAAAAATATCACACAGACTCCTTCACAGTGACTTGGCACAAATCAACCTTACCCACCAAAGAGAGCAAATTTAACATGCAACATAAATAGACCCATTAACTCTTCAACATATTTTTCTTTTTTTATATACAAACAACTGAACACTGAAAATTTTAGAGTACCACTTTCCCCTTTCTTTTCACGTTCGCAATTTCAACCAACATTGCAGGACCCAGAGCAACTTAAAGCTTGAACTACGTGTCTGATCCCACTTGGAAGTACATGGTGTTGAAATAGTTCACTTGATCCACTCGCCATACTGGTCTGGTGCCCTACACTGCCGTTTCACCTGATAGCCTTGGCGGTCCCAAAGGTGTGGCTCCCCTACTACCTCTTTGTTGCAGTTAGCTGTCAGAGGAGGTGGCACTAAAGAGAGCCTGATTGATGGCACCAGCGTGGGGTGCAGATGGGTCATGCACTTTACAGGAACAGGACTGGGGACAAGGCCATCTAGATAAGCTGTCAGCATTAGTCTGCTCTCGGCCTCGACGATGGATGATTTAAAGTTGTATTCAGTCAGCTATTCAAGACTTTGAGCCAACTGTCCCTGTGGCTCCTTCATCTTGATCAGCCAGCACAGATTGCTGTGGTCTGTACGTACTTTGAAAGGCGGACTGAAAAGATACTGCTGAAAATGGGATGTTATGAGTTATGATGCATTACTGGATGAGGCTGGTTAACCCCAGGTCATCAGACCCTTTGGAAAACACATGCCCATAGGTACAAAGCAAACATGTAAGTTGGAGTTGCTCAGAGTCATTCAGGTCTCCAGCGTTTTGGGCATTAAGCTGAGGAAGGTGCAACGTAACCACAAGTGTAGTGACCTGCAGGTGTGTAGCCAAGGAGACAGAACAAACCTCCACATCACAGAGGTACATGCAAATAGTCATTTCTTGATTACAGCCGTTAAGGTAGAACACTGCAGACTCCTGTCTCTCACAGGAAGTGTGATTAAAGTTTGCAGATTTGCTGGCTTTGTGAGGGGGAAGTGCTTCTGAATGTGACACCAACCTTGGCAGTTATGGCAACAAACTCCACCCCTTTGTAAAAATTTTACGACCACTGGGTGCAGATGGTGTGCTGTTTGCTGTACAGATTGGCGAAGTGACATTGGGAATGAACCTTTGGGGTGAAACACTAGTTGAAAGTGGGTGATTGGAAACACTTTTGTTCTTTTCATGCTCTCTGACCACAGCAGCTCTGGGCTGACTTTCAGCTAAACTCCAGGCCCCTGACTGCATGGCGCTGGTGACATAAGTCGCTGCTCTCTTTGTAGTTTCATAAATACCAGCTGTTTCATATGCATGGGCTAGTGTTGCTGGTGACTGTTCTAACAGCTTCTGGACTGCATCACCGAGTGTCATGTTGGGATCTAGGCATCTAACCCACATGCAGAAATCACTCTTTGAGGCAGAGAAAAAGTTAAATGATTTATTTAACAATGTTCACAAGTAAATGGGTACACAGGTTCTTGGTTCGTCAGACTGGTCAGGGGAGGGAAGCCACTGAGGAGGACAGAGCAGTTAGAGTTGACCCAGGAAACTTGCAGTTTACAGATGACTGGGATAAATACCTGCTCAGAGAGGAATCTGATCAGCAGGGGGGAAACCTTGAGGGTCCAGAGGCTAGTCGGCAGGCTGAGGGCAGAGGCAGAGACTGAGACGGAGGGCAGGCAGGCAGGTTCCAGACAGTGGTTATTTTCTCCAGGATGACAGGTTTCCAGATAAGTCAGGATCTGTGAGGCAGAAGAACACAGGATCAGATTGGTTCACAAAATCAGGGTTTCAGATCAGAGAAGCTGGCTCAGGTTTTGCTATACCAATACTGGCAAACACTCTGGCAGGAAAGTGTCAGCCTCCTCCTCCTTAAGTAGGGCCTCCTGATGAGCAGATGGCAAACAGGTGTCGCAGTTAGCTCATGCCCTTAGGAGAGATCTTGTGCGCCCTCTGGTGGAGAAAGTAGACAAGCCTCCAGATCCCAACAGTATCCCCCCCTCAACGACGGCCACCTGGCGGTCCAAAAGAGCAGGAAGGAAGAGAAGCATGGTAATCGCTAATGAGAGAAGGGTCCAGGATGAACGAACCCGGAACCCACGTCCGGTCCAGAGGACCGTAGCCCTCCCAGTCGGTGTAGGCAGGATGCCCATCAATGTCACAGGGGGGAGGAGGGGAGTCAGAAGGAGGGCAAAGAGGACTGGTCAGGACGGGTTTGATCTGTGAGACATTGAAGGTGGGATGGATGCGGAGAAAAGAAGGGAGATGCAGGCGGACAGCAGAGGGACTGATGACAGACTCGATCCTATATGGGCCAATGAAGCGAGGAGACAACTTTCTGGACATGGATTTAAGTGGAATGTCTCTGGTGGAAAGCCAAACCTGCTGCCCTGGCGAATAGGTGGGAGCTGGACGTCTTCTCCGGTCTGCAAATCGGCGGTTCTGTTCAGAGGAACGGTTCAGAGCGGCAACAGTGTTGCTCCTGATAGTGCGGCATCGGCGGATGTGGTGTCGGACTGAAGGGACTGAGATTTCCTTCTCATCAGCAGGAAATAGCGGAGGCTGGTTTCATAATGAGATTTCAAAGAGACAGAGACTGGTAGCAGATGAGACATGAGCGTTATGTGCATACTCCACCCAATGCAGGAACTGACTCCAGTCAGCGGGGTTGGTGGACGTGAAGCACCTGAGGGTGGACTCCAGCTCCTGGTTCATTCATTCGGTTTGACCGTTATACTGGGGATGGTAACCAGAGGTTAAAGAGATTTTGGCTTCGAGGGCAGAACAAAAATGTTTCCATACCTGGGCTGTAAATTGCGGTCCTCTGTCTGACAGAATCTCCTGTGGGATGCCGTGTAACCTGAAGACGTGCTTAATCAGAAGTAGAGCTGTCTGAAAAGCGGTAGGAAGTTTTCTCAGAGGAATGAGATGGCAGGCCTTGGAGAATCTATCGATGTTTTTGAAAATGGTGGTGACCATGTGCATTTAGGAACAGGCAGGGGATGAAGGAGACCAGAGGGAGACAGCTGAGATGGTTTATTCCGGGCACAAACTGGACAGGCTAGAACAAACTCTTTTACGTCCTTGTGTTGAGAGGGCCACCAAAACCGACGCGAAATCAGGGCAACGGTTCTACTGACCCCATGATGAGCTGATAACTTGGTTGTATGCATACAATGAATCAATCTAGACCTTACTGAAGAGGGAATGTACGTTTTGTTAGGCGGACCAGTGCCGGGATCTGGTTCAGAAGTTTGAGCTTGTTTAATCAGGTCAGATATTTCCCAGGAGACTGTGGCGACAGTACAGCTAGCCGATAAAATACTAGCTGGGGTTTCCAGTTCATCAGGAGCATAAAGGTGGGACAGAGCGTCAGGTTTAGTGTTTTTAGAGAGATGATCAGGGTTAACCGAGAGAAAAACAGGGACTAACGGGACTCACGGGGATTAGATCTTTTGGCAGATTGAATGTATGAAAGATTTTTATGGTCTGTCCATACCAAAATGGGATGCTCTGCGCCCTCCAGCCAATGCCGCCATTCTTCCAAGGCCAGTTTAATGGCGAGGAGTTCTCTGTCACCGACGTCGCAATTTCGTTCAGCAGGGGTGAGTCTGCGGGAGAAAAATGCACAAGGATGAGTTCTCTGGTCAGATTCAGAACTTTGGGACAGAACAGCCCCCACCCCTGAGTCAGATGCATCCACCTCCAAAATGAACTGTTTGGAGGGGTCCGGTTGAATGAGGATGGGTGCATTGGAAAACAGAGCTTTATGTTTCTTGAAGGCAGCCTCAGCCTCAGTGGACCAGTGAAAAGTTCTTTTGGCTGAGGTTAAGGCTGTTAGTGGTTGGGCTGTTTGGCTGTAGTTTCTGATGAACCTACGATAAAAATTGGTGAATCCCAGAAACCTTTGAAGTTGTTTCCTGTTTTCAGCAGTGGGCCAGTCCAGAACCGCCTTGATCTTATCCTCCGATGGCCTCACCTGCCCGCCCTCGAGCACAAAACCTAGAAAGGTAACAGATGGGCTATGAAACTCCCATTTTTCAACCTTCACAAACAATTTGTTTTCCCAAAGTCTTTGTAGGACCAACCAAACATGTTTCCGATGTTGGGAGATGGTTCTGGAGTAGATCAAGATGTCATCTAGGTAGACAAACACAAAAACATTTTAAAAATCTCTCAAAATGTCGTTCACTAATGCCTGGAAACAAGCTGGGGCATTAGGCAGACCGAAAGGCATTACCAGATACTCGAAATGTCCCAGAGGTGTTTTGAAGGTTGTTTTCCATTCGTCTCCTTCACAGATTCTGAGAAGGTGATAAGCGTTTCTCAGGTCTAGCTTGGTGAACACAGTGGCACCCTGAACCGGTTCAAAGGCAGTCTAACAGAGGCAACGGATATTTGTTCTTGAAGATTATTTGGTTTAACCCACGGTAATCAATACATGGTCACAGAGATCTGTCTTTCTTGCTGACGAAGAAAAACCCGGCTCCGAGTGGAGAAGAAGATGGTCGGATTTTTCAAGCTGCTAGTGACTCATTGATATATTTCTCCATGGTCTCCCTCTCAGGTTTGGAGATGTTATAAAGCCGACTGTTAGGGAGAGGGGCCCCAGGGAGAAGATCGATGGCGCAGTCATAAGGACGGTGCGGAGGGAGAGAAAGGGCTCTTGCCTTACTGAACACCGGAGCCAAATCATGATAATAAGGAGGAAGGGCAGAGAGATCGGGCAGGTCAACCTCCTGACGGTTTGCCGGCGACTGAGTCGGAGGGGCGGCGGAACAGAGGCAGGAACAATTACAGGGGATAGACCAGGACTCCACATGTCTCTTAGACCAGTTAATATGTGGGTTGTGGAGTTGCAGCCAATCAAAACCCAGAACTATAGATGAGCTTGCAGATGGAAAAACATAAAAAGATATGTTTTCCCTATGGTTTCCGGAGATTAGTAGTTCTAAAGGTTTGGTCTGATGAGTAATTTGGGGTAGTTGTTTTCCATCTAAAGCAGAGACTCTCAGGGGTTTAGTCAAAGGAGTGGTCTCAAGACTTAGTTGTTTGACCAAACTAGAGTCGATTAGATTTCTTAGCACTTTGAGATTTTTTTTTTAAATGTAAAGTGCAATACAAATAAAAATTTTTATTATTATTATTATTCTTTCACAGCTTGAATCAATCATGGCCGACAAAGTAAGGGACTGATCTTTAAAAAAAAGAGTAGCAGGTAACAGAAGTCGAGGAGATTTTTCAGTTTGAAGATGGTCCGCCAGACTCCTCATTTCCTCTGGCGGACCCTGGCTTTTACCTTAGCGGGACAGGCTGAAACAAAATGTAGAGGTTCTCCACAGTATAAGCAGAGGTTTTGTTTGTATCTCCTTTGTCTTTCTTCTGATGAGAGTCTGGTGTGACCGATCTGCATGGGCTCGGCTTCTGTGTACAGTGTGGGAGAGGAAACTTCATTAGCTCTTTCAATAGACCTTTCAGGAAGTGTAGTGACTGGGAAAATACGGCTCTTGGATCTGGCTACGGATCTGGCTCGCAGCCTGTTATCTAAGCGGATAGTCAGTCTTATCAGATCCTCCAAAGTATCTGGTTCAACTAGAGTTGCCAACTCGTCTTTAATTGATTCATCTAGGGAGTGAAAATAAGCGCTCTTAAGCGCAGTTTCTCCCCAACCCGAAGCGGCCGCTTTAATCCGGAAGTCAATTGAAAAATCAGACACTGTTCTGTTCCCTTGCTTTATTTCTAGCAACCTACGAGATTTAGTGGTCTTATCTGTATCTTGGTTGAAAGCTTGCTTAAATTCTTTTATGAATTCATCATAAGTACAACGATACTCAATCTTGGAAGAGAATTTGGCTTCCGCCCACTCCAAGGCTTTACCAGACAGATGAGACAAAATAAAAGAAATCCTTCTTCCATCTTGAGAAAAGCTCTGAGGTGAATGATTAAAAATTATCGAACATTGGAACAGAAATCCTTGGACTTACTTGGTTCACCAGAAAATCTTTCGGGGACAGATGGGCGGAATTCAGGAAATGATGGGTGGATTTCTGACCTGAGAGGTGGATTGGAATCCTGAACCGGAAGCAGAACTGCTTCAGCCGAAGGTGTAGTGGCCTGTGAGCCTGTTATTTCATGCAGGGTGCGGTTAGCTTCAGCTTGGCGTTCACTTAGCTCTTGTAGGGCGGAGTCATGGCTCTGAATGAGGACATGCTGTTGCTCCAAGGTCCTTTTGAGTGATTCCGCGGGGCTAGTTTGTAGGCCAGAGTGTTCTGTCATGTTGGGGTCTAGGCGTCTAACCCACATGCAGAAATCACTCTGAGACAGAGAAAAAGTTAAATTATTTATTTAACAAAGTTCACAAGTAAAATGGTGCACTGGTTCTGGGTTTGTCAGACTGGTCACGGGAGGGAAGCCACTGAGGAGGACAGAGACGTTAGAGTGGAAACCAGGAAACTTGCAGTTTACAGATGACGGGGATAAATACCTGCTCAGAGAGGAATCTGATCAGCAGGGTGGGAACCTTGTGGGTCCAGAGGCTAGTCGGCAGGCTGAGGGCAGAGGCAGAGACTGAGGCAAAGGGCAGGCAGGCAGGTTCCAGATAGTGGTTATTTTCTCCAGGATGACAGGTTTCCAGATAAGTCAGGATCTGTGAAGCAGAAGAACACAGGATCGGATTGGTTCACAAAAACAGGGTTACAGATCAGAGAGTTGGCTCAGGTTTTGCTGTACCAATACTGGCAAACACTCTGGCAGGGAAGTGTCAGCCTCCTCCTCCTTAAATAGGGCTCCTGATGAGCAGATGGGAAACAGGTTAGCTCATGCCCTCAGGAGAGATCTTGTGTGCCCTCTGGTGGAGAAAGTAGACAAGCCTCAAGATCCTAACACCGAGGCCATTTATGAAGACCTCAACAGCTATATATCAATTGCCAAAGAATAAAGCATCCCTGACAAAGAACAGCCTTGCCTCACCCCTCTTAAAACATTGAAAGGAGCACTTAAGCCTCCATTTGTTTTAACAACACCCGCAATTCAATTCAATTCAGTTTTTTTCTATAGCGCCAATTCACAACACAAGTCATCTCAAGGCACTTCAACCAAATCATACAGTCAAAATGATTAAAAGTTTTCTATCTAAGGAAAACCAGCTGATTGCATCGACTCATTGACTCTTCAGCAATCCCTCACACTAAGCATGCTTGTAGCGACAGTGGAGAGGAAAAACTCCCTTTTAAAAGGAAGAAACCTCCAGCAGAACCAGGCTCAGTGTGAGCGGCCATCTGCTGAGGCCGACTGGGGTTCAAGGAGACAGAAGCAGATATAGAAAAAGAAGCATAGATACAAAAGGCAACTGTCAACCAGCTCCACAGGCAATTAGATCGAATTTGGTATTGATGACGTGAAAAATAATAACGGTAACTCCATTGAAATGATTCAAAACTAAAGTAACGAGACAATTTCTTAAAATGTAAGGAGTAGAAAGTACAGATATTTGTGTAAAAATGTAAGGAGTAGAAGTAAAAAGTCGCCATAAAAATAAGTAGTAAAGTAAAGTAAAAAATATCAGAAAAATCTACTTGAGTACAGTAACGAAGTATTTGTACTTCGTTACTTCCCATCTCTGCTGCTAGAATGTCAAAAATAGAATTGGAGGCAGATCTTTTAGTTATCAGGCTCATCTCCTGTGGAACCAACTACCAGTTTTAGTCAGTGAAGCAACAACTAGTAAACCTGCAGATTGAGAGCGAAGTGCTCTGTTAGGAACATAAGGAACAATCAGATCTCTGATATCAGATGGAGCTTGGCCATTTAAGGCTTTATATGTGAGAAGGATAGGAGAGATATGATCTCTCTTTTTCATTTTCATCAGAACTCTGGCTGCAGCATTTTGGATCAGTTGAAGGCTTTTAACTACAGTTTGTGGACTTCCTGATAGTAAAGAATTACAATAGTCCAGCCTTGAAGTAACAAATGCATGGACTAGTTTCTCAGCATCACCCCTGGACAGGAGATTTCTCATTTTTGCAATATTCATCAGATGAAAGAAGGAAATTCTAGAAACCTCTTTGATCTGGGATTTAAATGACAGGTCCTGATCAAAAACAACACCAAGATTTTTTACTTTATTATCTGAAATCAGTTTAATCCCATCCAAATGAAGTGACTGACTAATCAGCTTCTTTTTCAAAGACTCTGGTCCAAAGACTGTAACTTCTGTTTTGTCTGCATTCAGAAGCAGAAAGTTAAGAGTCATCCAGGTTTTTATGTCTTCAGACATGCCTGTAATCTATGTAATGGGTTAGCTTCATCTGGATTATAGACAGATATAGCTGGGTATCATCAGCATAACAGTGGAAATTAATCCCATGCTGTCTAATAACTCTACCGATTGGGAGCATTTATAAAGTAAAGAGAATTGGTCCTAGCACTGATCCCTGTGGTACTCCACAGGTAACCTTTGAGCATGTTGAAGATCTATCATTAACGTGAAGAAACTGAAATCGATCAGATAGATCATATTTAAACCAGTCTAGAGCTGTTCCTTTAATTCCAACATAATATTCAAGTGTTTCTAAAAGAATATTATGATCAACTGGATCAAATGCAGCACTGAGATCCAACAGGACGAGCACAGATACAAGTCCATTATCTGAGGCCATGAGAATATCATTAGTGACTTTCACCAGAGCTGTTTCAGTGCTATGATGAGCTCTAAAGCAATGTCATAATGTAAAACCTGGATCATAGCTATGAAACCAGTGCTGAAACCATAAACAGCCAAAGTTTGCCTCAAATACTGGTGTTCAACCTGGTCAAAGCTTTTTCTTGATCTATAGAAATCAGACCAATATCTATGCCCAATGAGCTGGAGATTTCCAAAATATCTCTGATTAAAGTGACATTATCACTTATCAGCATGCCAGGCACACAATTCATCTGGTCTCTGTGAATAACTGAAGACATAACTTCTTTAAGTCTGGTAGCCAAGACTTTGGAAAAAAATCTTGGAGTC